TCAACAAGAAACATCGCCCAAGAAACAGGTGTCCTTTTTGGCTGCCCTACCCTTGATGAAAAGGGCAACCTCAAATACAAACACAAACAGACAAGACATTTGATTGGTGTACAGATCTCATCCAGTGGCTTTCAATCAACTTTGTCGCCTACCCTTGTTGCTTCGACAAGAGTATCCCACTAGGATCTTCCCACCGTCGCAGGCCACGTTGCGTTGATTTCCAAGGCATGTCTTTGGTCTTTCCCCTCTTGCCTCACGGCAAAAAGCCATGTATCACAAGCCCGTACCCCCAGTGAACATCCCAATCCCCCACTAAAATTGGTTCTAAGATGGGTGGTGCACCTACCCTCAAATGGGATCCCATTGGTTTTGACCCACAGCCAGAAGTTCAGGCAGCTGGCCTTGATGTTGCCGTGCGTGTGCTTGCAGAAGATGGGACACTCGCACCTAGCTGTCCAGCTGAGCTTCCACCGCTACGTTTTCATGCCCATGGCAAATTTGGCCGAAAGTGAAGCATTTGACCTGCTCTATCCCTATGCCTCCCTATGCCTCCCTACCAGTATGCCTGAGAGATTTTGTTGCCGCTTCAACCTGACCTGTGGATCCTGTTGACCTCTTGGGAGCCACGCCCATCAGCTCCAGCTTGGCATTGACAAGACACCGCCGCGTTGGCCTGCCAGGGATTTCCGTCAACTGATCGGAAGCCCAGCCTGGCGCGAAGCCCCAGCTTAGCTTGGCTAGAAAGCGGAGGAAGCCTTGGCAAGCCTTGATCAAGCATATGCTTGCAGTCGAACACTGCGACGAAATTCTAGTACAACACACAAAACAACACGCTTGAAGCCTTGAAGCAAGATTCCGCAAACTCAGGCAGGCTGGCCACTTGTGGTCGGGGGCAGACTGGGTATTTGCCTGGTTCTCCAGCCTGGCAAAGGTCGGCAGAACATGTCCAGTCCCGAAATTCTGAACACGCAAGGCTATGACTAGACATTGCTCCACTGCTTTGCACGCATCTAAGTTTGGTGCACAGCGCATAATGCGGAAACATGAAGCAGCCGTTCCAAGTGTGTTTCTCTCGTGCCCCCGGAAATCAGACACTGTTGATCAATCGCAACCTCGCCCTCACATATGCCAAATTTACTTGCGTATGCATAGTTCCATCCTTCAATATCAGCCTGGACCCCTGGGCAAGTCTCACTCTCACTTTACTCTGGGCAACTTACATTCTGGCACTCGCAAGTATACTCAGAGGTGACATGACCATGATATGTCGCCCTAGCTAGTGCCCTAGTTCCTGGCGCCAACTTGGCAAGCAAGAACGTTCTCCTGCTTTCCACGTATGACCCCCACAACATGGCATGCAGTTGGTATATCCTCAACAAAAGGTCGGCGGGGAGACCCCCAGTTCATGTGGGTACAACCCTAGAGGAACACCCTCAAGGATGCATGTTACTGGAGTTGGGCTACCCGCTAAATCATATGGTCAAACATGAGACACCGAAATCGCAACGTGGCATTCGGAAATCCTGGCTCTCGTGACCACCTCGGCAACAATGCAACCAAGACTGTGCGGGTGTTTTGACCTTTTTGCGATGGCTTTGGGGAAGCCAAAGGACACCTCCCGGAGAAGTGACCATTTTTTTAGACCCAGCTGTGTCCTTAGGGCATAGTCAACCCAGTGGTCTCTGGGGACGGCTATCCCTGCCTTGGGCTCGCGACAGACCGGCGGCGCCCCTAGGCTGAGGCTGTCCGGGGTGCAGCTGCGAGGGCCCTCCGGGCCTGGCGAGAATGAAGACGCTCCCAACCCCATGCGAACCCACCATCGATCCCCGACCTCCTGAGAATATGTATCTGTATATATATATATATTTGTACGTATATAATATAGGAAAAGGGTGCTATTGATTAATTCGTTCATCTATCAGATTTCACCACCCCCCCACCCGCCGTACCCAACAGCATATGCGTGATGGGCAATGCTTGGAACTGGCGCACCAAGCACTGATCAGGTTAGCATGCAAAATGGGTGGCGCGTTGGATTTTGGCTGGAACCACACCCCAATACGGCTTGGCCTGTTCAGATTCTGCGGATGGCTGTCCAGCATGAGGAGACATCCAACCACAACTGAAAACGAGCGGGCTCTCTCCATGTTGAACAATTCTCAATGGTCGAGTATGTTCAACTCGTGATTGAGAGAATGGCCCGACATTCCGGTATGAACTATGAGGAGACAGCATCATATACTGGCGCAATCATCCCGAATTGCCCCAATTACCAGTAACCGATTTCATGACCTCCGCTTCTGCGCCGCCATGATAAACTTGCCAGACCCTTTTCGCTCGCGACTCAGGTTCACACAAAAGCCATGGTTGAGCAAAGCAAAGCTATTGCAGTTCAAAACTCTGGACATCCAGTTGCATCTCTCACGAAATCCCATCGTAACACATCGAGTAAATCCCCGAGCGCCCAGCCTCCTCCGACCCTGACGAAGCCCTGGGAACACTTCACCGTGCAGCCACAGTCCTGCAAGTCGTTTTTCCTTTTTATTTATTTATTTATTTATATATATATATATACTGTATATATATATATATATATGAATATACATATAAATGGTTTGGTGCTGCATTTGCTGAGGCCTAGGGCTCACAATCCTTTCGAGCTCCAGGCAATACCCAACATGGTTTCAATGGCAGCTTCTCACGCAGGGACCCCGCTCGTGTCCTGCCCTGAAAAGGCGGCCCCTTTGGACGCCACATCAAGGAGATGTTTCTCCACCTTATCCCCAGGATATCTTGGTCGTCCTGCAAATACACTTTATGTCTTCAAACGATTTTGATGTTTGTCCACATATTTCTTGAGCACGGTGGCCCAAAAGCAAAATGAAGCAACGTGCCCGCTCCCCCGAGTGCTGGTCAATACATTTCCCCTCGACCGTTAAGAGGGAAATTCAAAGGCAGCCCTTTATAAAGCTCCTTATACAGCTTCTTATAAAGGCTCCTTCTAAGGACTCCTTCTAAGGCCCTATTGAAAGTCAACTGCATTGGGCAGGGCCCTGTTGAAAGTCAATAGCCCTGGGCTGGGAAGGATCTGGCTTGCGGTTTCACTAACGCCAAACCTGGTCCAAGCCCTGGGCAGAGTACACCCATGCAAACTCCTGCCCAGCAATGCAGGTCTCGCAGGCGTCCACGTCCAAGTTGTGCTTGCCCCTGCCAACTTCCGAGTGTGTGCATCTGTCCCGTGAGGCAAATGAGAAGTTCCCTCGGTTGACATTGGGAAATCTTGTCGTTGTGCCATTGTTTCACCTGTTTTCAGTTTTCACAGATTCAGTGTCATTTTCCAGCCAAGGGGGCAAATCGGGGTGACTCAGTACACGTGAGCGGTGCCGAAAATAGGCTACATAAAACCCCCTACTAACAAACTGCTTTCGCGGAACCTTTTGCGATGATTTCGCGATGCTTTCGCAGCCACATGTTTCGCTTTCGCAGGCATGTGTTTTGGAATGATCACTTTCGCGGACAACACAGAAATTGCAAACCTGCACTGCAGCTTTCGCGAGGCTTCGTTAGGAGAGGCCCGCAACTAGCTCCTTGCCCAAGGGTTTTTGGCGCATCAAAATGAGAATTCGGCTGAAATAGAGACACAGAGAAACTAACAAACACAGACAGACACAACAGAGACCGAGACAGAGACAGAGACAAGACAAGGACAAACACGGAGACAAGACAGAGGCACAGAAAGACACAAACACAAACAGAGAGACGCAGGCACAAACACACAACCAAACATAAGGAATAAATAGAGAGACAGAAAAAAGAGAGAGAGAGAGAGAGAAAGAGAGACTGAGAGACAGAGAGAGAGAGAGAGAGAGAAAAACATGAGTGAGACAGAAATAGAGAGGGAGAGAGGGGAGGGAGGGGGATGGGGCGAGGGGAGGGGAGGGGAGGGGAGGGGAGGGAGGGGCGGGGAGGGGAGGGAGGGGAGGGGAGGGGAGGGGAGGGGGAGGGGGAGGGGGAGAGGGAAGGGGAGGGGAGGGGAAGCGAGGGGAAGGGAGGGAGGGAGGGACACAAAGCGAGAGCACATATTTGCTTGCCTAATCAGCTCCATGTTGCACAACGGCGTGCAGGTTGGCAGCTCGTCCCACCTCAGATGCTTGGATGTTTGCCTCACGCCCAGCTACCAAGTTAATGACAACCAAAGCCTACAGCAGGATAATTCCGCAAAGGAGCCCTTGACATAAAGCATAGGCTTGAGAATGAGGCTAGGATCAACTATAGTGCAACAGGGGCAATATATTTTGACCAATTCTGCCCATCATTGCGCCTCGATGCAAGCAAACAAACGACACATCTAGGTCGAACAAGCCGGCGCGTACTACCATCCTCACACGCTAGCATCTTGTCCTTCCCTCGCCACACTGGGGAAACAAACAAGGACGGTGCGTGGCTGGTGCAAACTGCGTCTGAGGACACAATGCCTGATTCATAGCCTTTATTTCCCTAAAAATGTCACATGCGCATAAGAGCTGACCAGTTGTGGTCCCGAGAGAGAGCATCTACAGTAGTTAATGGCGTCATGAAGTCTGGAACAATCTCATGCTGCGACCCATTTTCAATAAGGCCACCACTCAGTAAAAGCGACAGCAGCACAGCTTTGAGGAAGCGAAGTCTGGCCTGAATGCGGTGCCGCTTTCTCTCAACGCTGTGAGGAACAAGTGCTGAGCAGCACGCTGGGATATGTTGGCTGAGAGGTACCCTGTCACCAAAAAGCCACAACTGGTAGCTGAGAAGCGGCAGTTTATCGGTGGTTCTCTACAAAGGAGTCACACCAATTTGCCTGAATTCTCCCGGGTTGTTTGGTGAATGGCAACTGTAGGGAAGGCGACGGAAACTGGGCTAGCCTCTACGTTTAGCTCGGCGCATGCTGCATTAGCTTGGCGACAGTCTGCAAGCCTTTTTTCGTGTTGCCTCTGCGGCTAAAATCTATGAAGCTTCACTCAGCTTCAAAGCTTCTCCCCTTTGCTCTCGGGCACGCCCTTGACAAAGTCCTGGATGAAGCTCGGCCTGCGGCGGATTGTCGCTTGACTTACTGCAAGAATCAAAAGGTGGCTGAACCACATTCAGGTGTTCTTGCACCTTCTCGAAACTGGAATAAGAAGCAAACAGTGTCCAACACGGGCCATGCTGTACAAGCCACTACTACCCGTCTCATACAAGGAAAGTCTGATGATCATCTCTTCATCACCAACGCCACCACCGTCAGCAGCGATTCAAGCGAAACACAATTTCCAGTGGTTGGCTGCTTCTGTTGAAAGCCACAAAGCAAACGACAAAGCATCTAAACAAACAGGCGGGTGTACTGTATGCACCATCATTTGAATGGTGTATGTACGAGCTTGCAGGCTGTGGCAGCTGTGAGCGCTCTTCGAACCTTATACACTACTTGCTGAATGCAATCATGGCGAAAGAAAACAAAAACATCAAACAAACAGCCTGGGCTCTGTGAAAGTTAAGAAGCTGTTTGAAGCATCTGAAGCGAAAGTCATGCCACAACATGATGGAATTCTTCCACGGCTCTGTGACGCTTTAAGCTCTTGGAACAACAGCGGCAAGCTGGTCAATGCCAAACAAGTGTAGCTTGGCCACCCATGTATACATTCAGATGTGCGTGCCTGTCGAAAGGCGTGTCCATGTCTGCTGTCTGTGCGTGTGCGTGCGCGAGTGCGTGTGCATGCGCTTGATTGCGCGCATGTCTGTGTGTGTGTGTGTGTGTGCGCGTGTGCGTGCGCGTGTGCGTGTGTTTGTGTCTGTGTCTGTGTCTGTGTGCGTGCGGCGCGGAGCGTGCCGCGCTGTGCGGTGCAGCGCGGCGAGTTGCACTCGCCTTGCTTGCGTGTGCTCTTTGTGTCTGTGTTTGTGTGTGTGTGGGCGTGCGTCTTTGCGTCTGTGCTTGTATGTGCGTCTGTGATTTTGTTTGTTTGTGTGTGTGTGTGGGGGGAGGCGAGTTGTTTGTGTGTGTGCCTTGCTCCAGGCATGTCCACCGACGCCTACTCTTGAAAAGGGGAGGCGCATGGGAAAGGCGCGGGACGATTCAACAAACGGGGGACAACTTCAACACATCAATGATGTGTTGGGATCAACCGCGCGCTCTTCCTCATTGTGGGCAGGGCAGCAAGCAGATTGTCCTATTTGCTGCCTTTTCTTTGCCTTTCAAACTCAATTTGGGCAGCTTTCAGTTTGATTCTCCTATTGGCTGCCTTGAAACTAGATTTGTGCCTTGCTTTCACTTTGATTGGCTTCACTTTGCCTGTAAAACTGCATGTGGGCAGCTATGGGAACCTGGAAAGCAGCAGGCCGAGCACTTGAGACTTGGAGAGGACGGAGAGGCCAAGCAACTTTGCTATTTGGAGTGTCAACTGGATGCTTCTGGACTCAGAGTCTTCGCAGGCGCAATTCGCAGCCCTGACCACCTCTGCTCTGCAGCCTTCAGGTTTCGAAACTCAGGCCATGCAGCTGTTTTGACTACCAGCTGGAGCCCTCAGGAATCGTAATTCTTGCTGGCCAAGCAGTTCTGTCTTCTGTTTAGGATGCCATCTGGAGCCTTCAGCCATACAGTTTGCACAGTTTAGGCGCCAGTTGGCTTAGTTGGCTTGGGTCGGTTTAGTGTTGGGTTGCGTGCTGCTGGAGTGCGTGGCTTGTGGCCAACGGGCGGGGCGCCTGGCGTCCTAGTCTTTGGTGGATCGGTCTAGCTCATCCCGCCTCGACGGACATGCTTGGACATGTCCGCACTGCCTGTTCAGGCGCTCGGAAGCTTCGTGGAAGCGGTGGCAGCAAGTGCGCCCATCCCAGGCTTGGGAGCGCCCTTGGAGCTGCCTCGGCTTGAAGCGGAAAGTGTAAGGACACCGATCTGACCTGTTGATGCAGGCAGAGTGCCGGGGCGCTGATAGGTGCAAGGGCCCGCTGCCTGGGGTGTGGAGGTGGCGGAGCTTTGGGCTGGTCTTGCCTTTTTGGAGGCAGGATCCTGCTTGCGGCGGTCACCGTGCAAATTGCGCTCGCTGTTCGACGGTCGGATCCCAGGAAGCCTTCCGAGCGTGCGGAGAAGGGACCTGACATCCTGCGCCTCACACGGCGGCACGGGGTCAGGGTTAACGGTTAACGTTCTCAGCGTCGGCGGCGTGGCTGGGGTTCGGCGGGCTATGGATGAGCTCTTGGTGGGTCTTGGCCCTTCAGTGCAAGTTGGGTGCTTTGGCGGCCCGTTCGGTTGAGCGGCGAGCGCCAGGCTTTAGAGGCAAGTGGGACATATTGCGTGGGAGTGTCCGCTACGGCCGGGTGAGGTTGGACAGCTAAAACTGGGCAGGTGACTGCGGCGCAGGAATGCTTGCTTGAGGTGCAAAAGTGTCTGTGGAGCGCGACGTGTTTGCAACTACATATATATATATGTATATATATATATATACGAAGTTGTGCTCTTGCGAATATGTGGTGTCTGCCAAATGTGAGTTTGTA